GCCGATCCCTAAAAATGAGGGCTGGCCTACTGGTCTTTTAAAAGTTTTTCCTCTGCTTACTGACAATGGAAGCTGTAGATGCTGGTGTTACACCCAGGCCACAAGAGGGGGAGACCCTGGCCTGCGGGTGTTTTCCATTTGACACAGACTGAAAGAAAACACACCAAGTTCATGCCGATGCTGATGTGGCAGGGAAGTGCCAGGGAGAGGTGATGCTCTCTGCCTGCTCTGCATCAAGGCTGGCATGGACAGCATGTGCTCAGAAGTGTGAAACAATGGTACACTGGTTCCAGCATCAGTGGGTGGCGACCACTGGGGAGATCCCAGCATTTCAGAGGTTTTATGAATTTCCAGTAAGACTAAGATAGTAGTGGTGACAAAATGTTGACACAAGCAAGTGGTTGCTTGCTTTCTTGCTTTCACCCACAGGTCTTAGCTCTGCACCTGAAAAGCGCCTAAAAAGCATTGCCTTGGGGAGGCTGATGCATAAACAGCAGCTTTCGCTCATAATATCTCAGCTTCCAAAGCAAATTTCACCTTAACAAAAACTGTAAATTTTTTTCAGGAAAATATCACTATCTGTCATGATTGTATTTGGCAAGCCTCCCTAGATTTACAGCTGTTATTTAGAAACACAGTGTTTGCCAACATGATACAATCATAGATGCAAGCCTCTTTACTTCAAAGAGGAAACAGCTTTGAAATGGCAAATTAAGTTTGGCAAATTCTGGCAACTACTTTAACAGTAAATTATTACTGATTTTTCTTCTATGCAATTACTCCATTTTCTGCACGAACTGCTGAACAGAGGCTCTGAGTAGATTCCTCTGAGCTCAGAGACAGGAGACAGAGTGGTACCACTTTCATAAGCTAAGGCAAAGCCTTGGTAAAGTGTTAAGACATCTACAGCTGTCTTCTAAACTGAGTGATTTAAAGTAGATTATTCTTTGCATGCTGAGGATTTGGCAGGGTGAACTGATATGCTTAGATTATTTATTTATTTCTATGAAAAACCCATGTCTGTTCAGTCTTGCCTCTTCTTTGATGCCAGGGATAGATATTCAGGCTCCAAAGTTTTCCCTCAGCCCTCTCCCTATATTGTGGCTACAAGAGTTGGCACTGCAGTTTGTTTTGTTGCTTGGAGACAGCTGCAGGAACATACAGTGGCATAAATCACACCTGACTCTGTTGCTAAGGAAATAAGACCATCTCCTGCTTTTCCTTCAGACCTTTTAGTAAAAGAGGCAAACAAAATTTATATTCAGGATATTTAAAATATTGTTTTAATTCAACAAAAGAAAAAAGGAAACTATGTAATGCCTATCTTTCTTGGGGATCAAATACTGAAATTTCATTCTTCTGGAGGTGATTATTGGAAGCATAGGATTTGAATATGTTGTGTGATAGAGGATGCTAATTAGACAATATGGATTTGGGGTATAAAAACTATAAACTTTTTAGTGGGCTTTTAAACTTGCAGAGCAGTGCCTCCTGCTCACCCTAATGTCATGGAATTACAAAGAAAACAAAAAAAGTAATTTTTGCTACTAGAAGTCTGACTTTGGTGAAAATTGAACTTGAGGCAGTTTTAATGTGTGGGGTTCACTGACTGGCCCTAGGCAACCCCCAGGATGGATCTTCATCTACATTGTCATTTGCCTGTCCCTCAAGTTCCAGAGCCTCATACCTATTGTTTAAGGGCCCTTGGGAAGGCAAAGGAGGCCAGTAGGGATTCGTCTGTCACCTCAACAAGGGACCTGTTTCCACTACCTCCAGTATCACCACAACCCACCCTGTGATTGAAGTTATCTCTCTTGTTCCAGAGTGATGGTGTGGTCACCAATTTGCCTCTATGCTTTTAACAGAGATACATTATGCTGCAATTATAAATCGAGGGAAATTTTTGATCAGGTTAACTGATTTTTTTTTTTATGTATACCTGAAAAGATCTGTGTGACAATGCTAATATGCACACTCTAAGATATAGAACAATATTCAACAATAAGCGTAATATGACATAAATCAGGAAAATTCCAATACAATGCAGCATTAGATTTAGAATTCCTATTGTTTGTGGTAACCACATGAAAAAAATGTCCCACCACTGAGGTTTATTCTTTCCAAGCCATGGTGTATCTCTTCTGTATCGTGATGAATGGTGATTAGAATTCTTTGTCCATTGTTTTGTATGCGGTCCAGCAGTCGACACAGGTGGTTGCGCTGCAGTAATTTTTTTCACCAGCGGAAGGTTCATTCCCGTGGGGGTGGGCAGTAAATCTTGACAGGGTGTGTAGCTAGATTGTAGAAATTCATGGGTTGTGACAGAAGGCCCTAATTTGACTAAAAGCACAAATGCAGATGTTTGCTTATTTCTATAGTGATGTTTTCTCTAAGTATGGAATCAAGAATAGTTCTCATACATCCCTTTCCAACAGGTATAAAAGCATAGGTTCAAGGATTTCATCAGGATGTATTTTGAACTGAGAAACATTTTGTTCACCCTAATGGTGTTACTTTCACAGATAAATCCCCGTTTTTCCCATGCAATGCATGCATCAACATTGACAGTCTGCTATTTGTTCCCATTTTGTTGGACCCATAATTTTGTGTTATATAGGATAGAGTATAATTCTGTGGTGATTTAACCCCAATGCAATGACCGGCTATGTGATATATAACAAAGCATTGCATATTGTTAAAACAAAAGTTTTACTTGTTGGTAGGGTCGTAAGTGAATATGCCACCAAGACTGAAATTTTCTTTCAAATTTATTTGCATTATTCCAGATTACTTCATGAATTTCAGTGGCCAAGATACCCCCATTGTCTTCCCTTACAATTGCTGCTGCAGCAAGTTGTATCCTCAATTGACCTTGAATACAACTAAGAGGTATTTGTATGGGCTGCACCTAGAGTTCTCACTATTAATTGATGATCCTTTTCATCAATCCTTTCCCATTGAGGTAATATATCTGATGAGAGCAACTGGTTAGTTCCTGCAATCCAATTGGTATAAATCACTTGGCACTGACTTTATTTTGTTTCCTAGGACTTTAGCATTCATGCTCTTCAGTACTCCTAATGCTGTCCCCAGGATACCAGTCTCATCTCTCCTTAATTGTTTGGGAGAGGTGAGGGTCACTGCATGCAACCATGATAACCATCCTATGTAAAATGTACTTAAGAATGGTGAATAAGCAGGTTTAATTGCAGAGACATTAATCTGCATTGATAGTTCCACCTATTTGAGGGACCGTGAAGGATTAAATAGCACTTTTTCCTGGCCTTTATATTTGATGGTACAGGGTTTAATTTTGAAATGTGTGGAAATAGGGTTTCAACAGCCTTAATGGGAATCTTGCAGATTGTTACTTTCAAGTAAAACTGGTATGAAGAGGAGTTTTGTCAAAAGATAGAGGTGATCAAAAAAATTAATTACTGTACCAAGATAAACTGTGTTCAATTTTTGTACTGAACTACAGTCATCCTCTACTCTGTACACTCCTTTCGTCACTCCATGACTAGAACTACCACAGAGCAGAATGTTAGGATGCTGCAGCAAGGAATTCAGATCAGGATCAAGCTTGCTCACTTGCTCACTCACAGCACTGACATGCAGCAAGTTGCATTAGCTGTAAATTGTGACCTGATGGGTCACATGAAACACATGGTATGAAAACAGAACCAATACCTTTAGGGAGATGTTTAACTCTATACTGTCCTCATGCTTTTGTTTTGCTTGTTGGTTTTCTGTGCAATAACTGATAAAGCCCCCGAAGTAAAAAAAAAGATGTGTCAACTTCATGGATGATCAACTTTCACGAGGCAAACCTGATTCTTCATGAACATACAGAAACATTCAAATCTTCCCACATCAGGCAACCTAGACACGCTTCCTTAGCTGCACAAGTGTGCTTTGAGTCACAAAATCATAGAATGCCTGATGTGCAAAAGGACCTCCAGAGGTCATCAGGTCCAACCTCCCTTGCTCAAGCAGAGATGGTGCCCAAGGACCACAGTCACACCGCTTTTGAGTATCTCCAAGGATACCTCTGGATCTCCTGGGCAACCTCTGCCAGTGCTCAGTCACCCTCAGAGCAAAAAAAGGTTTCCTGATGTTCAGAGGGAAGCTTTTAGCTTTGTTGTGTTTTGCTTTGTGTCTGTTGTCACTGAGCATGCCTGACAAGAACCCGGTTCAGTCTTTGCTCTATCCTCCCTTCGGGTATTCATATACCCTGAAAAGTGATCCCCTTTGGAGTCTTCTCCAGGTTGAACAGCCTGGAGACAGCGCTTTCCACACCTCCTAATAGGAGAGATGCTGTAGTCCCTTCATCATCTTTGTGGACCTTTGCTGGATGCTCTCCAGAATGTCCACCTCTCTTGTGCTGGGGAACCCAAGACTGGACAGAGTACTCCTGGTGCAGCCTCCCCAGTGCTCAATGGAGGGACTTGGATCAGACCTGGAAAGCTGGTAGAGTAAGAAATGCCTTGAGATGAGTTATTTGGAACAAAACAGTTCTGGACATGAAGGGTGAGGCCTGTGACTTTATAAAAAAAATACAGCAAGGAAATTCTGCTTGACAGCAAGGCAGTCTAGTGAGATGAGCTATCTGAGCAGCTTTTGTTCCCTGAGGCCAGGGCTTCTCTGTTCTATCGGTAATCCCTGAAAGCCCTGTGGTGTCACCAGAAAATCACTATGACATGTGACATCAATCATTGTGCCTTCTGGGTGTGATTTCTGAAAGCTCTCTGATGTCGCCACAGGGTCATTGTGACACATGTGACATCAACCCTTGGTGTGGGGCAGCCCTGAAGGCCCAGAGTGCCTGCCTTCCTCCCATGGGAACAGACATCTGCAGTCGATCAGAGTATAGACTTCCATCCTGTTGGCTGCCTTCTAAGGGATAAAAAGATTTGCCAAGGGGCAATAGTGGCAGAGCCTGGGGAGCTGGTCCCAACTCCTGCAAGCACAGGCTCTGACTGCTGTTGTTGAGGGGCCAGGAACCTCATCCCCACCTTCCCAATTCCTGCTTACACATGTCAGAGAGGTGAGTTACCACTCTCCCCCGAGAGCTGTCACATGCAAAGACACCTCTGGTGTCACTCATCTGCCTCAGGATAGTCCTTGGTACTTGTGGCAGCCCAAGCACAGCCCCGAGGCCGAGCGGGAGCTGTTTAGCGCTCGACTGGGGCAGCTTGGCTGCTTTCTGCAGACTGCATCTCTGGATTGTGTCTCCAGGGCAGGTCAGGAGCTTTGTGTCTCTTTGGTTTGCAGAGCCAGATGGCAGAGGAGGTCTCACCAGGAGATGGCACCTCTTCCCCTGCTGCCAGCACCAACCAGGTGCCCCAGGCTGTGCCTCCACGTGGTTCTGAGTGCCCAATCTGCCTGGATATCATTAAGGACCAAGTCTCTGTGAGCTGGTGCAGACACACTTTCTGCTTTTCTTGCATACTAGAATGGTCTTGCATCAGACCTGTTTGCCCAAATTGCCAGGAGCCTTTCCAGTACCTCTTCCGCAAGGTGGCAGACAACAATTACGAGGTGTACTACATTAGGTTTGACAGGCCTAATCGAGCACAGAGAGCTCGTCGCGGCTCTGCAGGAAGGAGGCGGAATCGCTTCACAGGCCGCCAGCAGCGCAGCTCTTCCAGCAGGGAGCGTGGCACTGGCCGTGCCAGGACCCGAGAGAGGGAACGAAGCAGGTCCCCGAGGCGGCACCACAGGAGCCACAGCAGGGGTCAGCACGCCCAGGACTACGACTCCTCGAGCAGCAGGAGCCAGCAGCAGAGTTGGGCTGAAGACACGTCTACTGACACCTCTAGCGATGAGGACCACGCTGAAAGGCCTGAACAGGATGCCCCAGTCCGCTCGAGGAGGAGCGAGCGCCGCCAGCGAGAACGAGGGGGTTCCTCCCGGGAATCACGGGTGGCAAGGAGCCGATCCCAGAGGAGGTCCCGCAGTCCTGACAGGCGCAGGGACAGGTAGCACACCCAACCAAGAAGGGTAATGCTGTATATCCTGCTACTAATGCCATGAATTAGAAAGCTTCACACCAAAACTGCTCCTACTTCAAAAATAAAGTCAAATACAACTGTCAAGCTTGAGGCGTAGGATCTATTCTCCATTTAAAAATGCATCCAAAAATCCAGAGACCTATGCAAGGCTGCCCAAGGTTTTGAGGATAACAAGCTAGAAGCTATAAGGTAGAAGAAATGCCTTGAGATGATTTATTTCTAAAACAGAACACAGAGCTGGGCATAAACAGCGAGGCCTGTGACTTTATATAAAAAATACAGCAAGGGAATTCTGTTTGACAGGGAGTCAGTCTAGTGAAATAAGCTATCTGGGAAGCTTTTGTTCCCTGAGGCCAGGGCTTCTGTGTTCTATGGGTAGTCCCTGAAAGCACTGTGATGTCACCACAGTCATCGTGACATGTGTGACAATCTGTTTTGTGGTGTGGGGAAGCTCTGAAGGATCAGAGTGCCCACCCTCCTCCCGTGGGAACAGACATCTGCAGTTGAGGAGAGCATGGAACTCCATCCCATTGGCTGCCTTCTGAGAGCATAGAGAGGATTTGCAGGGTGGTGACAGTGGCAGGGCCTGGGTACTGGTATGGACCTGCCGCGTGCCCAGGCTCCAGATGCTGTTGCTGAGAGGCCAGGAACCTCATCCCCACCTTCCCAATTCCTGCTTACACATGTCAGAGAGGTGAGTTACCACTCTCCCCCGAGAGCTGTCACATGCAAAGACACCTCTGGTGTCACTTATCTGCCTCAGGATAGTCCTTGGTACTTGTGGCAGCCCAAGCACAGCCCCGAGGCCGAGCGGGAGCTGTTTAGCGCTCGACTGGGGCAGCTTGGCTGCTTTCTGCAGACTGCATCTCTGGATTGTGTCTCCAGGGCAGGTCAGGAGCTTTGTGTCTCTTTGGTTTGCAGAGCCAGATGGCAGAGGAGGTCTCACCAGGAGATGGCACCTCTTCCCCTGCTGCCAGCACCAACCAGGTGCCCCAGGCTGTGCCTCCACGTGACACAGAGAACCAAACGTGCCCGATCTGCATGGACACCATTAAGGACCAAGTCTCTGTGAGCTGGTGCAGCCACTCTTTTTGCTTTCCTTGCATACTGCAATGGTCCCGCAACACAGCTGTGTGCCCGATCTGCAGGGAGCCTTTCCAATACCTCCTCCGCAAGGTGGGAGACAATAATTATGAGGTGTACTCCATAGGGCACTACATCAGCTTTGTCAGGACTAATCGAGCACAGAGAGCTCGTCGCGGCTCTGCAGGAAGGAGGCGGAATCGCTTCACAGGCCGCCAGCAGCGCAGCTCTTCCAGCAGGGAGCGTGGCACTGGCCGTGCCAGGACCCGAGAGAGGGAACGAAGCAGGTCCCCGAGGCGGCACCACAGGAGCCACAGCAGGGGTCAGCACGCCCAGGACTACGACTCCTCGAGCAGCAGGAGCCAGCAGCAGAGTTGGGCTGAAGACACGTCTACTGACACCTCTAGCGATGAGGACCACGCTGAAAGGCCTGAACAGGATGCCCCAGTCCGCTCGAGGAGGAGCGACCGGCATCAGCAGAGACACCAGGTTTCCTCGCGGGAGCCCCAGGCAACAAGGAGCCGATCCCGGCGGACATCCCACAGTCCTGAAGGTCACAGGGGCAGGTAGAACACCCTACCAAGAACGGTACTACTGTTTCCCCTGCTATTAGTGCCATGAATTAGAACGCTTCACCCCAAAACTTCTACTAGTAATTTCAGAAATAAATTCAAATCCAACCAAGCTTGGGGCCAAGCATCCGAAAATGCACCTGAAAATCTAAAAAGACCCTTCAAGGCTGCTGAAGGTCATGAGTATAACAGGCTAGAAGCTTTAGTGTTGCTTTTCTCATCCTGTTCTATGTTACACTCATCTATAAAAGCTTGTACTTAACATTTTGTATGGATGTGCCTTTTCTCCCTATATTGCATTTCCACACTATGATAACTGAAGATGAAAGGAGAAAAATCCTTTCTGCCCTGGTACCAACAACACAAGTGGGTTATTATATTAGATAACATCTTGTCCCTCCACATCATCCATTTTTTCACACTTTACTCCAAATATCCCCCAGAATAACTTCTCATCTTACCACTCTTCTCACAAGGTGGCAGTGATAACTGAAGATGGTTTACAATCACTCTGCTGAATCACAGAGACTGCCTATGATGCCACTGGTAGCAAGCCTCTGAGAAGCCTATTTTCTTCTTCTTTCTCCTTACAGACTTTAAAAACAGTCCCCAAAGCCTTTATAGAGAAATTTGTTCCCATGGTATGCTCTGTAAACAGCCTCACCTTTAAATGCCCGCAATGGGAGTATATGCTTCAGACTCTTCAGGCCTCATCCAGACTACCAAAGACATTTAAAAACAATGGTGGACAAAGAACACTATTGCTTTCAAGTAAGACTGGTGCAAAGAGGAGCTTTCTCAAATGACAGAGGCGATTTGAAAAATTACTGGACCAAGACAAACTACTCAATTTTTGTATTGAACTACAGTCATCCTCTACCTGTACACTCCTTGTGTCAGTCCATGACTAGGACTGCCACAGAGCATTAGGGATTAGGACCAAGCTGCTCACTTGCTCACTTACAGCACTGAAACGCATCAAATTGCATTGGTTGTGAATTATTGACTGCTGCAGTCACTCCATCATCCAGACTGATCTGCCTTTGTAAAGCCACGCTGTCTATCTTGGATCACCTCCTTGTCTTGTATGTGATTTAGCATTGCTTGCATGAGGATCTGCAACATTATCTACCCAGGCACAGAGGTCAGGCTAACTGGTCTGTAATTCCCCAAGTCTTCCCTGCTTCCCTTTTTAAAAATAGAAGCAATGTTTCCCTTTTTCTAATCACCAAGGACATGGCCTCACTGCCATGACTTTTGACATACGATGGAGAACAGTTTGGCAACGACAGAGCTCAGTTGCCCCAGGACCCTGGAATGCATGTTGTCAGGCCCCACAGACTTGCAGTTGTTCAGTTTCATCAAGGGGTCCAGAACCTGCCCTTTCTTTAGAGTGGGAGGGACTTCACTCCTCTGACTCCCACCTAAAGGTCTCTTGAGAGATGTGGGAAGCCTGACTCCCAGCCAGTGACAACTGAGATGATGAACTCATTGAGTACCTCAGCCTTCTCCATATCTGTTGTTAACAGTTCTCCTTTCTCATTTATATGGGTCCTTTATCTTCTTGGCCTTTGTCTTCTGATCTATGTCCTTACAGAATCTCTTCTTGTTATTCTTTGCATCGCTGGCCACGTCTAGTTCCATCTGTGCCTTGGCTTCCTTTACCCTGTCCCTACATGTCTGAACTGTATCCCAGTACACTCCCCAGGTCACCTGTCCCTGCTTCCACCGGCTGTGCATTTCCTTCTTTCTTCTCAGTTTGAGGAGCAGACCTTTGCTCAGCCACGCTTGCTTCTGGCCTGCCTTGTGTATGTCCTACACATTGTGAGGGAAAGTTCTTGTGCTCTAATAAAAGTGGCCTTTAAGACTTGCCAGATTTGGTCAGTCCCTCTGTCCTTAAGGACAGTTTCCCAAGGGATCTAATTCACCCAGTCCTTAAACATATTTAAATTTGTTCTTCCAACCTTCAGGATTCTGATTTTTTTCCTTGCTAGGCCTATGCTCCTGGAGATTACAAACTTCACCAAGGCATGGTCATTACAGCCTGGGCTGCCTCCAGACTTAACTCCTCTGATGAGCTCATCTACATCAATGAGCACCAAGCCCCAGGCCCAGTAATGCTTCTCCTCAGTTGGTCTGCCCCACACCTAGACCAGGAAGCTATCCAGGAGTGCCCTGGATTGCTTATAACCAGCTGCATTGCTTTCCCAGCGGATGCCCAGGTGGTTGAAATCCCTCATCAGGATGGGAGCTTGTGAGCAAGCTGTGTCCTGTAGCCAAACCAAGGTGGCCTCGTCAACAGGCTCCCCGATCAGGCAGCCTATAGTTACCTCCACCTCCAGGTGTCCTTTGTTCGTCCTGTCCTTGATTTTCACCCCAGGCTCTCAACCTGTCTGTGACTGTTTCTCAAACACAGCTCTTAAAAATCTAGCCCTTTCCTTAACACAGAGTGCAACACTCAGCTGCAGTGTTCCAGTTGTCCCACCATGCTTCCATGATAGCAATTAGGTCATAGTTTTCTAACTGCATCATGGTTTTCAACTAATTGCTTGTTACCCATGTTGCATGCATTGGTGTAGAGGCACTTCAGCTGGACTGTCAACTTCTTCACCTTATGGTAGAAGGCCTCTGATTCCTTTGGGATGACTTACGGTGCTTCCTAAGGTGTTGGTTCCTGTTTTCTCTGATGTTCACAACACCCCTTTCCCCTATCAAATCCAGCTAATAAGTTCTGTCAGTCCCAGAACACTCTTAACCCACTTGGTCAGGTGCACCCCACCTGGTGTCAACATGCCCAGGCTCTTGAAGGTGCATCCCACATCACAGAACCCAAAACCCTGAGCATAGCAGCAGCCATGCAGGCAGTCATTCATCTTATCCATTTTCTCCTTTGTGCTGGGTCCCAGTCTCCAGCTGGAAGGGCAGAGGACAATATTACTTGTGTTCCTGACCCTTTCAACTTCTTTCCAAGAGACGTGAAGTCCCCTTTGATATTTCTCAATCACCTTGTTGCAGCCTAATTTGACCTTACACAAAATAGTAGTAGTGGATGTTAGTCCTCTGTTTTTACAAGGCTTGGTAGCCTCTTTGTGATATCATGGATGTGGGCCCCTGGTAGGCAGCAAATGTCTATAGAGAGGTGATCCAGATGGCAAATAGCTGGTTCTGTGCCCCTCAGGGAGAAGTCTTCAACAACTAACACCCTTTGTGCTTTTTTTGGTGGCACTTGTTCTAACGTGGGTGGTTGATTGTTCCTACTTTGTAGCACTGCACTTTTCTTGGTCTTGACTACTTGTTGCAGAGTCCTCTCCTTCCAGTCCCAGAGCATCATATCTGTTATGTAGGGGCGCATGGGTAGCAAGGGGGTCACTTGTCCTTCTACTCCAAGCAGAGGCGAGA